ATGGCAGTCCTAAGTTAAGCAGGTAAGACATCCTTCGAAAATAAGACCTGGTGCCTGTTTTGGAGGAAAAAAAATATAAGACCGGGTCTTATTTTCAGGGAAACATGGTATCTGCTTGCTAAAATTTACTTTGCACTTTCACAGACATGCAAAATAACTTGAATCACTCATGCTCTTGTTCCCAACTGAGGTTCTAGTATTTGCTAATTCGGTATTCAGGTCAACTATATAGAACGTAACTACTAAAAATAATGAAAATTGACTGTGTAAATACTTAGCATGCTTTCAAATTTGCAGAAATTTGTTTTGTATATATTGGGTTAATCATCAGCTTTACTTAGGGATTACCAAAATTTATAATCTGACCAGGGAACATTCAAACTTTTCCTATAACCATATGTCATGTTTTATATTTTTAAAATTGGCCTTTTAACCAACTTCACAGTGCTTTATAAATGATTTGGAAAGTAATAGGGAAGGTCATATTTACATTTAAAGTAGTTTAAAATTATGGGAGAGAGAATTTGTTGATTGAACACACATAGAAACAGTAGGAAACCTGGACACTGCTACTAAGAATTATTCAAAAGTCTGTATTGGCAGAATCACTGTGCAAAAGTGTAGTGAAATGCTATTAGCATTCTAGGCAGTAGATAGTAGCAACCAACTCATATGATTATGAACAATCACACTGACTGCTAAAGGCTTCTAATATTGCACATAGCTTAATATTGTCCAAACTATTTCTTTCAAATCAGTTCTAACAAGCAAAACACAAGTAATTTCTCTTTGTGAGGGAAATGGGTGGTCAAAAATGTGATAAATAAATAAAAAACAATTCTCTTCTTTGAATTATAGCAGTAAAAATAGATAATATAATTTCTATATCCAAACCAATACTCAACCAGATATGTTATGAACAATGATTTTAATATGCTTTAAATATTATTTCCACTTCTGTAAAGCTTGGATTTTCTGCCAGATGTGCATGGTTTGAAAAGAACTACAAGAGTGAATTTTAGCAAACTGATCTATGTCCAGCAGCCATGGAAATACATAGCTTAAGTACTTGTAAGTAGTTTTATTTGTGGCCCCATATTTAGTAACATTTCAATGGGTAATTTTAAATGTACCTAATTATGTGCAGATGTATACTCTTAACAGCGTATTCACTAAACCAGGGGTAGGCAACCCAAAATACTCAAAGAGCCACTTGGACACATTTCCCACCGAAAACAAAACACTGGGAACCGCAAAACCCTTTTGATATCTAAAATGAAGATAACACTGCATATATCCTTTTTTGAATATAAGACAGTTAAAAGTTTAGTAAAAACCTTAAAAACTTTTAAAAGCATACAATCATAGGGGCCAAGCTTTCGTCGGATCCTTACGACATCCTCAGGGCACAAAGTCAATCAATGGGAAAAGCAGTTATAAATAAACCGACGCCTGCATCCGGGCCCTAGATCTCGTGATAGGGCCGTGATAACCAATCATTGTAACATTATATATATATATGTTTTCTGAGGTTTTCGCGGGTGTTTGTATGTAGGTCTTTAGTTATTCGGGTTTTCTCCCGCGTAGAATTAGAAGTGTCTTGGCAACGTTTCGACGAAGTCACATTCGTCATCTTCAGGCTGGTGTCTTCAGCTTCGTGCTTCTGGGAGTAGTGTGTGTGATCGCAGCTGTTTCTTCCTTTTAACTNGCTGTGCTCTGATTGGATGGGGGGTTGGCTGTGTTCTGATTGGCTGGGGGAGTGTTCTGTTTGGGTGGGGGCTTTGTTGTGCTCAGGTTAGTTTGAGTTGCAGGGGGATTTGAGATGGTGAGCTTCATTGCTGTTGTTTGGCTTCGTGTTCGTGGTCGTGCCACATCTTTATGGTGGGTGTCAGTTTGCTTCATGTATGCATTGGAGGGGTTTAAAGTGGCTAATGATGCACGCCCCAACGTTCGTCATCGCGATCCCATCGTTTTCTTTCCCATACGGCACCCTCGATATGGGGGAGTACTCTCTTCCTTGTGTGTGCGTCTCTCTCTTCCTTGAGGATGTACATTCACCCTCAACGCAGCTGAGAGGGAATCTTGCTGTTCACTCTCCCTGTTCTCCCTTTCAGCTTCCGCCGTGGCCTCCCTCCCCCCTTCCTTCTCCTCACCCATTATTCCCACAGGCAAATACGCAACGCGCTCCTCCACCCCCAGAGGTTCCATCACGATCCTCCCGTCACCAACTCTGTTCCTTAATGTCCTCTTGTCATCCCCACTCCCGACCTCCCCACCCAGTCTCTCATCCATGGGGGCGTGTGTGACGGTTGTCTCGGAATTCGTCCGCACGGTGCCTTGATGGAAATGAGCTGCCGATGTGAAGCACGCCCCAACGTCCGTACTCATAGCCTCATCATCCTTCTTACTATACGGTGCTTTGGTTATGGGGGGAGCGTCCTCTCCCTTTTGCTCACATTCCTCTGTTCCTTGGGGCTGTGCGAGTGTCTTCCGTGCCGAGGAGGGGGAGCTTTTTGGCTCCCCGTTCTTATGCCTTTTCGTACATTTACAGGGGGGGTTGTTCCTAGGCGGATACCTCTGGGAGTGTGTAGACGTTCTGAAATTATAAGCCGCCATCATTTTGCTTTCTCGTGGTTCCCCTGCGTTCTTGGAGCGGGGATATCTCATGGGGGTGGCAACATGAGTGAAGTCAATTACAGAGTCATGAAAGGGGATGGTGCCAGACCCTTTCTTTTCAGTCGCTTTGTCCCCCAGCCACAGGGGAATCCGCTGCACGTGAGACGGCCGAAAGGCGCAGGCGGAGAGGGGAAGCTACAGAGACCCCCGGCGACCCCCCCGACTAACAGAGGCAGCGGCAGAGCAGGGCGAGGGGAGATCCGCCTGGCAGGGAAGAGGCACCCCGAGACCGGCCACCCACGACTCCTTACCAGGGACACCTTTCCAGCAATCCTCCCAGCCACCACGTGCAGTACGAAGAAGGAAAGAGGTTTGTGGGCAGTCCCACCAACCAATCAATTCAAAATTCATGAGAAGTTTGAATTGATTGGTTGAACTTTTTTAGTCCCACTTTTTTTTTCAGACTGCACATGGTGGCTGAGGACAGGGAGCCGCAGGAGACGGCTGAAAGAGCCGCATGCAGCTCCGGAGCCGCGGGTTGCCGACCCGTGAACTAGGGCAATCCAATACCACTAACCCTAACCCAATCCCAGTGTTGAGAGCTAATGGGTTGTAGCAGCAATGGTGATGAATTAAAAGTGGGAGACCCAAGTTCTAGTACACTTCTTTTCAGAATACTTATCCTATGAGGATAAAACTTAAAGACTCCTATTGGATATTGAAATGAATATAAAGTTGGCATAAATGGAATTTTTTGTAGCTGACAAGAATGTTGCTGTTCTTCTAAACAAAGGGGCTGCTGACATCTTTAGGCTTGATCCATTCTTAACTGCCTTGATTGTGAATTGCATTTATGAATTGTATTGTATTACTGATGAGTAGAGGGGGCATTTTAACTAAATATTACTTTTCTGTAATACATATAATGAATCAATATCATTACTGTGATTAAACATGGAACTATTATTGCATTTGGAAGCTTCAACTGCTGCAGAATGCAGCAGCACAAGTTTAAATGGCACTGGTTACTTGGTGCATTCTACACCCCTATTTTGTATGCTGAATTGCTTACCAGTGTACTTCAGAGTACAATTCAAGGTAATGATTTAAAGCCCTTCATGACTTGGAACTGGATTACTTGAGGAACCATCCCTTGCAGGATGGACATGCTTCAGATTCCATCAGCTAAGGATGCTAGTTGGTGGGGCTCAGAAGGTGTGTCTTTTCTGGTATAGTGCCCCTCCCCCGAATATTCTCCCTATGGATATCAGGATGGACTCAACCTTACTGGCCTTTTGTAAAGTTCTGTAGATCTGGTTCAGTATTCAGACCTGGGTACATGAAGGGATCCATCTCCTGTATATATTAGTTTTTGTTGCTTATGTAATTTCCTTTGTTGCAGTGGATTTTAATTTTTGTATTTATTGTTACCGGATATTTATTTTTCTAGAAAATTTTAATTTTGCCTAGAAAACATGTAATATAAAATCTTTCCCTGGTCAAGTACAATTATTAGTGACTTCACAAACATATTCATTTAGTTTTCATGAGAACAATACAGAATTGCCACTGAATTCTTTTTGTACTTTTTTAAAATTTACACTTGAATACTGCCTTGGAATTTCCTAATATTCTCCCATCCAGGTACAGTTATTACTGATTCAATTTATTCTCAGCTTTTCAAGATCAGCCAACTTTAGCCAAGAGCTGCTACCTAGTTTGTAAGAAAATATATAATATTGTTCTAATTTAATTAGGATATCCTTGATTCCTTTTCTTTTATGAATAATAGTAATTATTCTCTCTCTTAAGCATTACTAGAGATTCACAATGCATTGTATGCAGTCATATATGTTTGCTTGGAAATGTCAGTAGTTATATCTCTCTATGCTTAGAAACAGAGACTAATTGAGTTAACTGAAGTTTCCTTGGAATAGATTTCCAAACATGGGAATATACTCTATTAACACAAAAAGATTTATAGCAGGACTGAAAAGAAAAGCAATGGTTAAATATACCATATTATTCTAGACATTGCTTGCTCATATCAGTCAGATCAGAAATGTGTACTTATGAAGGATTGGACAGTTAGAAACATCAGATCTGCAGGCTTCTTTCTCTGCATTCTAATCACTATTTCATTGTGCCATTGAAAGCCATGCAACTTTCCAAGCTAGAATGACATAACAATGATTGGGCATTATTTAGAAAATACTGTCTAGCAAGACAGGAGAGCAGGGAAAATAGCAACTCTAAATATATTCACAGGTCGATGTTGTATAGATTTATTTATCCAAATATTAGTTTGTAAAAATAATAATGTAAAAAATTACTGCATATACTAATGCTACTTAATTGAAACTTTCTTATATATGTACAAACAGGAAACCTCGACCTGTCTCTCAGCTGGTTGCACAACAAGTTACCCAGCAATTTGTGCCCCCAACACAGTCAAAAAAAGACAAAAAAGACAAAGTAGAAAAAGAAAAAAGTGAAAAAGAAACTACTACCAAAAAGAACAGTCATAAGAAAACCAGGTAAAATTTATGTTGTTTGGGGTGGTTCAAAATACATAAATAAATATTAAATCTTAATCTTGTAAAATTCTTAGAAAATGGTAATAAAAGCCAAACATGTTGATCAAACAGAGAAAATAAATAAAATGTGTGAAATAAAAAGGAGATCTGTAAACTTTCCTGTATTGTCTATTTTGTATTTTCAGGGAAAACATACAATACTCAAGATCTATCAAATACTGCAGAAACTACTACCTTAGATAAGTCAGGGTTCTGGCCTAGAGGTGTCATGAAAACAACTGAGATACTAAGTGCTTCGTGAACCCAAAAATCTGGGAACATATGGTCTATACCCGTGGTGGCACGCAGAGCCCTCTCTGTGGGCACGTGCACCATCGCCCCAGTCCTAGGCCTTCAGCTGGGTTTTATAAAACCTTTTCGCTTTAGGCCTCCACTGCCATGTGGGAAAAAAAAAGGTTCAATCAATCAATCAATTTCAACTTCTCGGGGGAAAAAAAGATCTCGCAAAGTTGGAATTGATCAATTGAACTTTTTAGTCCCACCCAGTCTGCCATTACCACCGAAGCCATGCCCACCCAATGGGCCACGCCCACCCAATGGCCACGTCCACCCGGCACCCGACGAAACATAAGTGGGTTTTGGGTTGCAGTGTGGGCACTCGGTTTCTAAAAGGTTCGCCATCACTGGTCTATATTAAATAAAACTATATTTATGCCTATCTGAAGCTCAACTCAGTATATATTTATGTGTATAAACATTTGGCCTTGCTAGTTTACAATGGTATCTGTTTAGTTAGACTATTCCACAATGATTAAAAAAACAAAATTTGATGAGTCTCTCTCATCCCTTATCTCGTGGCTTCACAAAGTGAACTAAGCCAAGGTTTATTGAATAAACCATACCACAATAAGCATATAAGTTCCATTACAGCTTAGGGCATTACATAACCTCATTCCCAGTTTGTTCCAGAGTATACTTTTGCTACCAAATGTGGTGCATGAGTAACTTAGGGCATTATATAACCTGATTCCCAGTTTGTTTCAGAGTACACTTTTGCTACCAAATGAGGTGCATGAGTAACATAAATTATGTTTCAGAAGTTTTGACCCAGGTTCTTCATTTTCCAAATACGTTTTAACTAAAATACTCTTAAATTTTTGCTCCCTGAATAACTGGATTTGCCTCATGCCATCCCATACAGATTCTTAGTAACTTTAATAATATAGCCATTAAATAAAATTTTGGGGGATGAATTAAGGGTATTATTTAAACATGTCTTTAGTAAAGATAATTTAACTTTTATTAGATTTAATAAGTTTGGTTGATTGTTGTTATGGTAATTCACCCTAACATTGGTTTTGTGAACAATAGCACTAGAGATTCATCTCTTATCATGCTTTGTAATGGATATTTGCTGTATGAAGGATTATATCAATTTTCATATGATCTCAAATTTGATGCTGACCAGATGTTTTAGATCTAGTTTCCCTTAATTCCATCTAACACAGAAATTTCCATAATGGCTGGAAATGAAAATTTGTAGATGATAACTTCTTGAAGAGGGGATGAACGACTGCCTTTTTCAGTATAGACAGAACCATTCAATCAAGGATTACAGATAGTGTCCACTTACAACCACAATTAGGCCCAGAATTTGAGTCATTGAGCAAAGTAATTGTTAAGTGAGACACCATGTAACTGTTTCACTCAACTACTACAATCCCAATTCTCCCAGTTGTGCTCATTAAACAGATAATTGATCATTAGTTAAAACATGAAATGGGCAGGGTCTCCCAAGCTTGGTGAGTTGGATAGAGGGCATAGACCTCCCACACACCCAGGAGGCTTGGGCCCTTTCTCCATATCACCAGGGAGAATGATTGTGAGAACGATGGCATTCACTAGTAGTGTTTTCACCAGATTTAAGGTTCATTTTCCAGCATACCACTGGAAGTACGGGCCTCAAATCTGGTGAAAACACTAGTAAACACCATTGTTCTGGAATACAGTAATGTTTTCTCCGGAGGGGCGTAAAACCTGGCATTCACTAGTATTTTCTCTTCCAGAGTGTAAACTGCTACCAAACACCAGCATTCCAAAAGGGTCAGAACCCTAGTGTGCACTACCATTTTTGTCATGTTTGAATTCTGTTACCCCAGCATGCCAAAGGATTTCCTCTCCCGTCCATGCAAGGAGAGAAAATTCTCTTGCGCAAGTCTGATGAAAATAGTAGTGAATGCCAGCATTCTGAGCCATTTTCCCCTTTGGAAGGATGGAGATGCTAGCATTTGCTAGTGTTTTCTCCTCCTGAGGGACTGAAACAGATATTCACTACTGTTTTTGCCAGATTTGAGCTCCTTTTCTCCAGCATATGGGAGGATTTCCCTTCCCTGCATGGAAGGGAGGAGAAATCCCTCAATGGGCTGGAGGAATGAACCTCAAATCTAACATCTCCACCACTTGAAAACTTTCTTGCTGGATTCTTCATTGACATTTTGGAAAAAGATTGCATACTTGACTACTGGTCATAAATGCCCAAACTGCGATCATGTGGGTGGGTGGGTGGGTGGGGGAAACAGTATGTTGCTTTATAATGCTGGAAGTGCTTTATGGGCTGTAAAGCTCCCATTCCAAGGTTGTCATGACTGTGAGCTGTCAGTTAAACAACAGGTCATAAGTTAAGGATTACCTGTAATTTATCATTGCCTGGACCCAACCACATATCATCTCCCAGGAGGGACATAGATCTAATATACAGATTGCTGAGCTTATGCCTGTCTACTTGTTCATGACCAACAGGCTCAAACTCTTGCCTAGTCAGACCATACTTCTATTCACTTCACAGGAACTGCCCATCCACAGTTCAGATCAGAACAGTTCTGAACTACTTTATCTGTCAAATGCTTCAAATATTCCTCATAGAAGTTTTGCATATGTTCCTCTGGCCTCTCCTTTCCCAGTGAAATTTTGCCTATCTTGTGTTCCATAGTATCAGTGAGCAGAATGGTTAAGGCATCAGGTTAGAAACCAGGAAACTCTGAGTTCTAATGCCACTTTAGGCATGAAAGCTGGCTGGGTGACTTTGGGCAGTCACTCTCTTTCAGCCAACTCACCTCACATGGTTACTGTTGTAGGAAAGATAAGAGGAAGGAGGAGTATTTGGTATGTTTGCCATCTTGAGTTATTTATATAAATAATAAAGGTGAAATATAAATAAACAGATTATGAGGTTAGAATCATAGATCAGAAGCATAACACATGCCTATTATATCTAAAATCTCAGATTTAATATTTGGCATTTCTATTTTAAATATTCAGGGATCAGGCTAACAAAGACATTTGCTTGACATAATTCAAAGATTCAATTTTAGAAGATCTTGCTAATGAATTGTATCATAATGTGGGAGGTTCAAGTACTCTTTGTGATTCCAGAAAAATCTTTGAAGTAAAAGACTGGAACATTTTCTGAGTTTCCTCTTTCATTTGATTATTTATATTATTTTAGGCCCAGATTGAAAAATGTGGATCGAAGTAGTGCTCAACATTTGGAAGTTACTGTTGGTGATCTGACAGTCATTATTACAGACTTTAAAGAAAAAACTAAGTCGCCACCTGCTTCTAGTGCAGCTTCTGCAGACCAGCACAGTCAGAGTGGTTCTAGTTCTGACAATACAGAGAGAGGAATGTCCAGGTCATCTTCACCTAGAGGAGAAGCCTCATCACTGAATGGAGAATCTCATTAAAGTTTATTTACTTCAGTTTATTTAGTCTTTCCTTTCAAAAAATTACATATATACAACTTCTGCCAACAGTTACCACATTTTCATGACTTATCACCGTGCATGATTACGTTTACTCAAATATGATTTATGCAGTTTTTTATAAGCAGTTCTGCAGTGCAATTAAATTGCACTGCAATCTACAAAACATTTTTAGATCAATTTTTTAATCTTCATATACAATAGTGCCATGAAAATGTGGTTTGAATGTTCTTGATGCAGTGTTAACTGGTAAGTCCATTTCCTCTCTTTCTTTAGTGAATTTTAACAGAACTCTTGGATTCTGTGCTATTGGCATGTACTGAATGAATTAAAAAAAATAGTTCAAGCTGCATAAATATGCATTATTTGAGAATTGTGAATCATAATTATATATGTATGCAAGTCAAAGATCAACTTAATCAACAATTGCTGCAAAAAACTTTTCGTAATGATTACCTTTAAAACACCTGCTGGTACTTGGTGTGGTTGAATAGGAAAATGTTATTAAATAAAACATTTGTATGAATTTTTGCCAATGTCCAACACATTTTACTGGATTATTGTAATTGAATAACGTTGCTAGCTTCTCCAATATTTTCCTCACACACTTAGAACATTTATTGTTAATGTTTACAAGCAAAAAAGTAAATCTGTTACAAACATTGTTTAGCTTTATAATTCAAATATAGTATTACCTTGTCCTTATACACTGGTATTCTCTGTTATAGAACATAAATTTATTCTGAAATTATTAATCATTTTCTGGTTTTCTTAATTCTATATCTTAAAATTACTGGTGATAGCTTTAAAATCCCAAACATGATGCCATCATAATTGGTATTGTCCACTTACTTTCTCCGAGATTTGCTCAGTGTTATAGTGATATACTGTTCAGCAGGAGGCTGGGATCCAAAGAGGCTTTAAGTTTGTGTATGAGTTTAGTGGTTTATTTTGTTTGGTTTGGGGGTTTTTTTTTAGCCATAGTTCTTTGCACTGCACCAGAGAGCATTCCCAAAGATCTCCCAAGAAAATGGGTAGCACAGGGGACTGCAGTTGAAGGAGGTGAACTTTAAAAGCAATGGTGCCTGTGTATGTTTGTGTGTATGGATGTGAAAAGAACCTGTGCAGCCTTTAGGATTCAGCCAGTGATATTAAATGTTGCACCAGAATAAATAACGAAGCAAATGTGGTATGTATTACATTTGTTCCTGTATCAGCCTTTTGCTTTTTTTAAAAAAAAGAACTTTTATTAAATAATATAGAGTAAATCATAGGAAAAATGCAATTCTTTGTTTTTGATATAGTGGTGGATATTTATGCATTTAGCAATATGGAGATACAGAACAAAAAGATTTATAGTCCCATTCAGTATTATGTAAACTTTTCAATAAAATATTTTTATGAGTATAGGTTTTGCAATTTTGTTTACAATCAGTTAAGTGTTTTAATGTACAAATTAATGATTAACTCTTTCACCTGTACTGTAGAATTAGAAATATAGTGGGAGGGAAGATGATTTATAACTTCTAAGGGTGTTTTTATATATGATTGTCCACTTAAATGAAGGACATTCACTGATAGAATGTAAACCCAATCTAAAAATTATTTTAATTTAATAAGACAACTAACAAATCCGAACTTATACATTATAATTGACAGCACAAAAGTCTATACATTTCTACTCAAAATGTCTCATTGATTTCCTAGTTTATAGCACTACAGCATCCTTAATCCTTGCATTTTTACTCAGCAGCCCAAACTTGAGTGGGGGATGGGGAAGGTTCATGACATGTGCACAATGATGTCATCATAATAGTATCTTAAGCTGTTTATCTGTGTCACTTATCAGGTCACAAAGTACATCATGGTAACTTTTGTACGATGACATCATCAACCATATTATTTTGGTACCTTCATAATTTACTGCAAATGCTTCTGAGCCTGAGGCTGTTTCCCTACGGAATTAAGAGGCACTGTGCTATTTGGAATTTACTTCCAAATAAACATGCATAGAGTTGCATTGCACAAAGTAAACAGTAGTAAAAGCATTCTAATTCATTTTTCCAAATTTATTGTATTTTTCTGTTGCTTGGACTAGTTGCCAATATTAGCATTTTTGTACCCACAAACATCTTCATGAAAATGTCCTTCAGATGCAGAGTTACTAAAAATGAAGGTTCTCATAGTGATGGATCTTAAAATAATGAACTAGAAGAGAAAGTCTAGTGAATGTATATGTTTGTGTTTTCTGTGTTAGATTAATCTTATGCACACTTACTTCGATAGATCCCACTGAATTCAATGAAACTTAACTCTGGGAAAATATACATAGGATCAGGCTGTTAATATTATTTGTTTTGGTAAAAAGTCCAGTTGTGTATTGTTGAAGGGAACGCTTCACATAATAGCTAGGAATTAACTTTTTTTCCACTTAAAATAAATATTTTAAGTGAACTATGAAAAATTAAATAGGATTTTGGTAATAATTCTAACCAAAAATATTAAATATGTATAATGACAGCCTTTCAGCTAGAATTGAATTTTGTAGCTCTGCTAATGGTGATGTTTGTTGGTCTCTTGCAATATTGTATTTTTCTGTTTTTAACTCCAGTACTTCTACAGGCACAATAGTACTGTCTATTTTGTACCATGTTAGATGTGAAATACAGTCTGATGTGAAATGTAAAACTTGCATATGTCATTTCTTACTTTTGCTGTCTAACAAGTTAACATTAACTCTGTTCCCTAAATGAATAAGAACTGAAAAGGCTGAAATTAGGATAATTATTTAATTGTATTTTTTATTTATCTCATTTTTGAACCACCCATCTCCCTCATAGACTACTTTTATGTTACAAAGTACTGCTTGGTCATTTATTGGCTTCTAAACAGAAATTAATGGGGAACAATGCAGTTAATTTCTCTGCAATCTTTAATATTTTTTCCAATTTTTAAAATAAACTTCTAGAGGTAATTTCCCAATAAATAAACAATATAAAGGTGGTATCCACTTGGGGGGGGGCACTGAAATCTACAAGTGATATAACTACATAATTGGCATATCTGGTTATTCATTTTGTCACAAATATTTAGGAAGCTACTTTAAACACCCAATCAGTCCATATGATTCAGTCATCTTGACAGTGAGAGGCAGCAACTCTCAAGGGTTGCTAGCTCAATTTGTGGATGGCAGGAACTGGATTCTTTCATGCAAAGTATGTGTTTCAAAACTTTTACATAATTTCTTTACAAGAATCCATCTTTAGAGTATTTTCTTTTGTAATATCCATCTTTATAAATGGATATAAATATATTTTATTTACAAATATCAGTAACATATTATTTAAGATGTATGACATCTGTATTAAATTAAGCTTGAAAATGATCATAAACCATTTCTTAGGAGTGCCTTTTCATTAAATCAGAATACAATCCTAAACAATTCCATGGGCTATTCCAATGAGTTATTACTATATAGAAGCACTGGATTGCTTTGTTTATTACAGAAATGGATATACTATCTGATTTATTACAGATAGTATATTTGTCTTAGGTCGAGAAAAGTAAATTAGAGAAATAAATTTCTCTAACATATCTCAAATATCGCTATCAACAATTAAAAATTATGCAAACACTGTATAGAATAGTACCATTTTTGCTGTTCTAAAACAGGGGTCCCCAACCCCTGGTCCGTGGACCAGTACCGGGGCTGCAGCATGCCAGCAACCGGTCTGCACAAACAAGCAAAGCCCCATCCGCGGGATGAAGGCAGCACACAAAACCACGCACCCTCTGGTCCATGGAAAACCTCTCTCCATGGAATTGGTCCCTGGTGCCCAAAAGTTTGGGGACCTCTGTTCTAAAAGATAACAAGGGAGTGACCAACCTAATTTGGCGGGAGACACGGTGTAATGAGAGAGCTGTCACAGCAAACACTATTTTCTGAATTCCTATCCCATTGAATGAATTATGATCCAATACTGCGCCGTGTAAAAGTCTGTTGCTCTCCATGTAACCTAAGATACAAAATACATACAGAATATCATTTGAAAATGCAGGGGAGAAGAGACATTGTTTCCCTCCTGGTTGTAGAAAGAAAGCATTTCCATCACCGGAAAATTCCTGGATTTCCCTTGGGCTCTGGGAGGATAGGTAGGATATTAATCTCACAAACAAATACATTTCATTCTGTATCCCGTGCATTCAGATTTCATGATCCAGTTACAGCAGTTCTGAAAAAAAGCAACTTACAGCTGGTCCTCACACTTACCAACTGTCCCACCCTTAGGAAGAAAATAATGGCAAATCACTTCCAAAATCTTTCCCAAAAAACTGCAATGACTAGTTCAGGCTGTCACTAAAAGTCAACACTAACTGAAAGGAACCAAAAATTAATGAATCATTTAAAATGATTATTTCAGGATCTAAATAATTTTATTATTAGAAATGAGTATATTTTAAAATCATTAACTGATATGGTAAGTACTGAGAATTATAAATGATCACTAATAATATCTGAAACATTTTGCTATATCAAAAAAAGTTGAATATAACTGAGTCCATTTACTGTCAAGCTATGAACCTTATTGTCCTTATGACCACCATAGTGCCGCTAGCTTGCCAACAAGGGGAGGAGGAAGGAAGAGTTTGGGATTCACAGATGCTCCCTATCAGTGTGAGAGCCGTAACTGTTGAGAGAATGTTTTGATGGAACAAAGTTTCTTCTCATAACAATTGCTGGAAGATTTATTGGACAATGTGACCTGAACTGTTGGGGGGCAGATTTTACTCTTTTAATTATCTGTTTCCCACCATAGTTTCAGAGTTAGTTTTCATTCTATCTTGCCGGATTGATTATGCCTAATAAAGTTAACATTGGAGTTCATAATGTCTTTGGTGTTTTGCTTGGTTGGGATTTTCAGCCAGAATATGACACTAAGCTAACTCACCAAAAATTCCTAAATTAATTAATTTAATTTAGGCCTCCAGAGGGGTGGTGAAACTCAGGGGAAGATGTCTGAAATGAAGAGGCTGGCTGAAGCCGGGTTGGGATCGACCAGCAGGACTCCGGCTGCGGCAAAAAGCAGCTTCATAACCACACTGGCCTCAACAAACCTAAGAAGTGTGTTGAACATAAGGAGCCGACCCCGACCCTGGAATGGATGGGTGGAGCAGTCGTGTTCAACCGGCCTGAGTTGGAAAAATGGCAAGTGTTATGGAGAACTGCTGAAGCCGAATTCTCGTACTGCCCTCAGCCCGAATGGGGCAGAAAGCTGGAGTGGTGGGAGCGAGGAACCTCGGAGTGGACAGCCCCCAAGGAGTGCTACTGGCCAAGGTACAGCAGCCAGTAGGAGCAACTGAGGCAGAAGTTTATCAGCCTAGAGGTTCATGGAGGAGAGCCAGTCCCATGGCTGGATCCTAGACCCCGAAGGGGTTCGGCTCTGTTTCTGGCATCAGCACCAACCTCTTCACCCCAGCACTTAGCAGGAGCAGCAGCTGCGGTAGCTGGGAGATCTGTTAGACCACAGCCAGGACCATTTCCCCAGTCCGGTCTCAGTCCAGGACACAGAGCCCACAGTCCTCCACCGGCGCCTGCTCCTCAACCTGGAAGGGCAGATTGGAGACTGCCACCAGATCTCAGGAATGGAGTTTACCTGTGGAAGTACCCATATGGTGGGGGCTGGATGCTGAGACCCGGGGCAGCACCAAGGCCACCTATGTCCCCACCGCTGAGGGCAACATTTGACAGGAACCCCAAGAAGCTGGCGTTCTTTCTCAATCAAGTCTAGACCCACCTTAACTGACATGGAGCAGAATAACCTGATGACAAGGCCCAAGTGGATGTCATAGTGGCCAACCTCGAAGGAGAAGCGGAGTGGATGACAATTTTCCAGACCCAGACATATTTCTCTGTGGCCTCAGAGACCGATTTGGGGACCCCACCCAGACCCAATGGGTGGAGGTGGAGGTTCAGAAGATGAAGCAGGGAGGTAGACCTGTGACCGAATACATTAGACACTTCAGGAGGGTTGCGGGGAGGCTGAGGCACTAGCCAGAGCAGCTCTTGAGAGGGTCTGAGCCGCGACCTATTTCACATGTGCCTGGCCTGAGGGATCCCGAATTGGCTTAGTGATTGGTACCACTAGTCACCACCATAGAGCTATACCTGGAGGTATACAAGGACCGGGAGAGCTTCGGACTGTGATCAAAGAGCCAGGAGAGGTGTGTGTTGGGGAAGAAAACAGCCAGCAGCAGTGCCCCCAGTTTAAGCAGGGCTGTCCGACCACGCTCCCATCATGTGCTTTTGCTGTGGCCACAAGAGATACTGGGCAGCCCGCCACCGACCCCTTAATGGCTTCCACGGTACTGACCCCCTATAAGCTGAAGCCGCCAAAGAAGGGGAAAGAGAAGTCACCCAGGTCATTGAGGTCTCCCCTCCAGAGCGCGAATGGGATGGAACTCCAACCGAAGAGGAGCCACCGATGACCCTTTCCGACAGCAAGTGCGAGGGAGAAGATGACCTGATGGTGAGTGGACCTGTCAACCACCTTGAAGTTAGGGTAGACATCAAGGCATCCTGTGAGGGGGCGAGGGGGATGGTTATGGCCCTCATATACTCTGGCTGCTCCCGTTTCCTAATTAGTCAAGCCACAGTGCAGAGGCTAGGACTACATTTGAGGAAGCTCAAGAAACCTGTGAGGTTTGAACAGGTTGATGGCATGCTGATAGGAGGCAAGGCCGCTTCCCATCTGATGGAGCCGATGCAAAGAAGGCATTGAATAAGGCAGCCAAAAGCCAGAAAAAATAAGCTGATAAGAAACAAGCTCCACAGGAGATGCTCCATGTAAGAGATAAATTGTATCTGTCTATTAAATATCTTACATTGAAACAAACTTGCAAAAAATTAGGGCTGAATTGTAGGTCCTTTATCGTAAAAATCATAAACCCAGTGACAGTAGAATTAAAACTACCGAGGTTATTAGGTAAAGTGCACCCAGTACTCCATTGCAGCTTACTGAAGCTACACAGGGAATCCACAATGAGACCAGTAGGGGAAGCAGCCCCAGCCCCAGTAGTGGTAGAAGGGGAAATGCACTATGAGGTCAAGCAAATCCTTGATTCTAGAATCCACAAGAGAAAGCTGCAGTACTTAATCCAATGGCAGGGTTACCTGATATCAGTAACTAGATGGGTGAAAGCCCAGCATGTACAAGCAGATCATTTGGTGAAGCAATTCCACATTAGGTACCCCAGGAAGCGGGGGCCAACGCAAGGGGAAACTAACAAGTAATGAGTATTCCTTTTGTTTTCCAGGTGCCCTTTCCCTTTTAGGGGGCCAGCCTGTCAAGCTATGAACCTTACTGTCCTTAAGACCATCGTAGTGCCGCTAGCTTGCCTACAATTATGGGGGAGGGGGAAGGAAGAGTTTGGAATTCACAGGTGCTCCCTATCAGTGTGAGAGCCGAAACCATTGAGAGAATGTTTTGACGGAACAAAGTTTCTTCTCATAACAATTGCTGGAAGATTTACTGGACAATGTGACGTGAATTGTCGGGGGTGTGTGTGTTACTCTTTTAATTATCTGTTTCCCGCCATAGTTTCAGAGTTTACTTACATTGTACCTTGCTGGATTGATTATGTCTAAGTTAACACAGGAGTTCATAATGTCTCTGGTGTTTTGCTTGGTT